TAAGAGCAGAAGTCCCTCCCAGCATGAGAGCAGCCATAGGCTTTCAGTGAGGAGGGCACCATTCAGAGGAGCAGGGCAGCTCCCAGAGGAGAAGAGGATTAGGGCGGAAGCTTACAGATCTAGGTGAGGCTGCTCCGTAGCACAGTGGGGAGTCCCTGAGCTCCAAGGGCGGTAGCAGCTTAGGGCTCTGTATCTGCAAGGCTCTATCTTATCAGTAGGAAGCAGCTGTCCAGTGATGCTTTTTAGGGTCTGCAAAGTAGGCAGGCACTAAATGGATGAAAATCTGCTTATTTAGGCTATTTTTAAAATGACTGGATATGGTAAAATGTGAGTTTGGTGTGAGCTAAGGAAATCAACATTAGTCCACAGTGAAGAAATAAACAACCCAGGGGCTAATACATAGAGACAATCTTTGACTTATTTACATAATAACACCTCCCCTTCAAGAAAAGAAAAAGACATGACTTTTCTAAAGGAAGTCCTGTCATTAGCCATACCACCCTGAACACACCCAGTCTCTTCTAAGGGAAGTCCTCATAAGGAAGCAGAATAATAAAAAGAATCCAAAGGAAACATCAGAAGTCTCCAAGCATCCCCATCCCATGTTCCCTGACCCCTGCCCTGCAGTGGATCTTCTGTCCCAGGACCCACCAGAATAGAATGGCAGAGGGACACTTCACTCCTCCTTGCCCTCCCTATTCCGTATTTAGGGTTCCAGGTTAGTCTCTTTTCAAAACTTTAAGTTGAATATATGAAAGAGACCCTAGATGACCACTGCAGACCCAGGCCTAGCTACTCGCATGCAGGCAGCCTTCATTCCCAACAGGGAAGTAGGGCAATCCAAGGTGGACGTCAACCTGCCCTGCAAAACTTGTTTTTATTTTCTCTTTCCCTTTCCTTTCTTTTTTCCCTTGCTTGCTATCTTTCTCCTTCAATTCTTTCCTTTTCTTTTAGTTCCCGGTTCTTTTTTTCTTCCTCTCCTTGATTCAAGTGCCAAAGATCCGTAGATCAGTAGTCAAGATGCCTGTGTGCTGATTCCAGGGACACCATTAACCACTTCTGTGACTGGGAGCTCAGCCTTTGAGGCAGTCATTTCCTCATCTGCAAAATTAAAAAATAAAAACTAGACTGCATTAGATTTATTCAGGTCTTGACCCACTGATTTTGTGGTCTATGTCTGCTGGTGACATCCACAGATGTTACTTAGCACCATTAGTGGCAGTTATGCCTCAAAAGGTCACTGACCCCCATTCATGGTGATTTAATTCACCTATCCCAGCTCTCTAGATACAGGATGATCTTCATACCTGAAGCAAGTTGTATTCTTCCAAAGTCGTCAGACTTTATCATTTTGCATAACCTATTATGTTTTCT